ATTATGTGTTCACCACCCAGAGTCAGTTCTCCTTCCATCACCATATATTTGATCCCCTTTACCCTCACCTACCACCCCTCTTCCCCCCTTACCCACTGGTAACCACTAAACTGTTGTCTGTGTCTATGAGTTTTTTTTCTTCATTTGTTTGTCTTGTTCCTTTGTTGCTTTCAGTTTTATATCCCCCATATCAGTGAAATCATGTGGTTCTTGACATTTTCTGTCTGACTTATTTCACTTAACATAATAATCTCAAATTCCATCCATGTTGTTGCAAATGGCACTATTTCATCTTTCCTTATGGCAAAATAGTGTTCCATTGTGTATATATGCCACACCTTCTTTATCCAATTATCTATCGAAGGACACTTTGGTTGTTGCCCTGTGTTGGCCACTGTAAATAAAGCTGCAATGACCATCAGAGCACATATATCTTTACAGATAAATGTGCAGTAGAATTGAATTTGAATTTGAAAACTTACACGTAAGACCTCTATAGTCTCAGCTACAAAACACACAGGCAAGCTCCATCTGCCCTTCCTCTGACTCTGGTGAACAACCAGTGCTCAGCCCACGCGTTAGTAAATGCTGCTGAGCGTCCTCTGAGATTGCTTGAGTAACCTAAACTGACCATTGCTGTGAATACAGCTGAGAAAGCCCCAGGTCCCGGGCCCTTCCCTACACTAAAGAAATAAAGTTGTTGCCTGGAAACAAAGAACTGAATTTTATTTACTTTGTATAAACTTTAAAGATCTTACTTTATGAAGTTTTGTTCTCCTGGTGCCCCAGCGGGTGGTGGGAAGAGCACTGGGCGGGGTTCAGCGGTGGATCGTGGCACAAAGCTCTGCTTCGGGGAGTCGCGGGTTGTCTCTGATCTTCGTACCACATAGGCTTTTAATGTAGATCACTCGTTTGAAGGAAAGAATGGATGCAGCAGTCCCTGCACCCTGTAAAATACGGTATCATTATTTCCTAGCTACTGCTTTCTCCTTGTGCCCCTCTGAGGGTCAGACTGACTCCATCACTCTCTCTACATGATGAGTTCTAGCTCCATTTCACACAGTCTGGAGTGTGGCCATAAACACTCGTTGAATAAAGTGTTTTTTTCCCTTCGATGCCACTGGTTTAGTGCTACTCTAGAGAGTGGCTGGCGACTGGCAGCCTCAGTCTTTTTGTTACCAATCTGAGGATGGATAGAAAGCTTGCATCCAGGATTTAAATCAAGTACATTATTAAACACACTGACTTTTTTTTTTTAATAACAAGACTTTCTTGTTGAAATAAGCAGTGTGTTCGTTGATTTTTATTTTGGTGCAAGTTTCTATCTCCTTGTTCCTGTTGTTTTAAGTAGCCTCACACGACTGCATATAAGTGTACCCAAATTAGGCATAAGCTTTGAAATAATAATTTAAAAAAATTTTTAAATAGATTATTTGAATATTTTATTCTCATTAGATAACAGAAATAAGAAGGAGCTTCTATACTATTAGAGCAAGAGTTTCTCTGGAGAAACTCTTTATTTAGAGTAAAATAAACAGATAAATTATAATTGCAGTTCAGAATATTCATGGCATTCCTACTGCAATGCCCAGTTTACTCTCCTGGGAGTGAGGGTGAGACTACAATCCACAGAGAAACCCCATCAGATCAGACCATCCCATTTTTAGTGCTGTGAGAATAATGCAAAACAAATTGTATAATTAACCTAAATATTCTGTATTCAAAGGCTTTAAAATTTTTTATCAAATTTATTGGAGTGACATTGGTTAGTAAAGTTATATAGGTTTCAAGTGTACATTTTAATAATACNAAAAAAAAAAAAAAAAGAAATAGCTGGATATGGAACAGTGAAAATGTATAACTTCCTCCTGACACTGGCTTTCTGTTAGTAACTGAAACGTATACCTTTCCCTACATTTAAATAATTCTGTATGCACGTTTTTAAAAATGGGGAAATCAGAATTTGAAGGGCCTGGAGTGGCACTGTTCTCACATAGCAGTTCATTTTCCTCTGTCCTGGCATTTTCTTTGGTCCGTTTTCATTGTTTATGTTTCGCGGTCAGCACTATTCATTGTCATGGATCTCATGCCGTTGGATCAGTTATAAAAATGGCCGCGTAAATGACTGTTATAGTGAGATGTAGACGTGTGTAGACAGGGCACACAGCAATTTCAATGGCAACTGTAGAATATTAAAAGTAATGTTAGACATGCCTCATGTGGGTTGAGGTTAAGTGTGGGTTTTGTGTCTGTGGGTTTTGTGTCTGTGGGTTTTGTGTTTGTGATGACACAGATGCATCAATACACTTCCGTGAAGGATTAGTACTTTGCAGCTTAGAGGGATTTTAGGCATCACATTTTAGTGCTTCTCATTTAATTATTGGCTGCAAAATTCATAATTCACATCCTTTATACATGTGAACAACCAAATGCATATGTCTCTGATTTTAACTCCTCATGGCTAGTCAGCGTTAAAGATTGAACATTGAAATCATAACTTAAAAATAAGGCAGAGTGGAAAGTCACAGCAATAAAAATCTTTCACTGTCACTGTCTTTCAGTGAAATGTTTTATTGTACAATTGGGAGGGAATATGCTATGTATAGATACAAAGACACTTCCAGAATTATCCATCTGCAGGAGGCTATGATGAGCAGAAATCTGACCCATAATCCTAAAATTCTGAATATTATATTTCCTTGGAGAGAAAGTAGGGTTTTTTTTCTTTTATTAAATTTATTGAGGTGACATTAGTTAATAAAATTATATAGGTTTCAAGTGTGCAGTTTTCTAATCCATCATCTGTATATTGAGAAAGTGGTTTTCAAAAATGATGTGCTGATTTAAATGTTTGTTTGTTGCTACATTTTGGCATGGAAGTTGTTTGTTCTTTAGTTTCTGGATGGCAAAAATTTTTTCATCTGTGTTCACAGGGGGGAAGATGGGGAAAAAGAAGAAAAGGCCAAGGATGACAAGGGCAAACAAAGGCTCCGGCCTCTGCACACACACAGATATGGAGAGCCCGAGGCCCCCGAGTCCGCGTTCTGGAAGAAAATCATAGCCTACCAGCAGAAGCTTTTAGTAAGCCGTTTCAGAATGAATGTTGTGATGTATTGTGAGACAGTAATAAGTTGGGCTCAGTAAATAGTCATCGACCTCCCTTGGGTGGCAATCAAGGAACCAGGTTTGATTTGCCCATCTTAGTGTGTTTATTATATTTTATAACGAATGACTTTGGTCTATGGCTCCCAATGGTCAAACCCGTAACCTCTCCACACATTCTCATGACCTGAACCCACTGGATGTAGTGACTGCTGGCATCCAGTGTCTTCCCACAAAGACTTTAGGACAAGTCAGTCCATACATCCTGTGGCCCCACTGTGAGCAGGACACTGCACGAGGCTCTGCAGTTCATGAGAGCAAAACACTAAATCCTTCAGGGTACAAGGAACTCCTACTGATGTTCCTGAAGTGTGAACATCACCGTTTTGTTAAGAGTCCAGATATAAAAATATCAGTGCAATCAGCCAACTCTCCATTGATAATAAGAAGGTCTATTCAAAATTCTTCTTTAAATAGAAATAAGTAAAAAAAAAATGAATGGAGAGAAGATAGTTCTTCATGTAGTGTCCTATACATTTTACAGAAATGCTCCCCAAATTAATAAAATACATATTCATCTTTGGAAAACAAAGAAGTTGTCATTCTCTATCTCTAGTCATGTCCATACAGGGTGGAATTCTTAAACATTTTGTTTGAAAGACCTTTTATTTGTATGTGTATAAATATTATACATAACTTTCAAAGCAGAAAAAATTTGGGAAATGAGTGTGTAGAATAAACCTCCAAGAGATACTGACCAATGATGTTATACCTAGAAATTAACAGCACTCTTTACAACAATGTCACCTGATAGGCAAGATCATATTCAGTGTTTTACAGCCTTTGGGAATCAAAATAGACATTTAAGAAACTCAGTGTACTTTAGAACTTCACCTATAAGGGAGATGGGTTGGTCTCAGTAATACAATATTCTAACTGCTTACACACATATGTACTAAATATTTTTATATAATTTTTGAACATACATATATTTAATTAATAGTTTTAACTATATTTTCTTAACTACCTTGGACTTCCCCTGTATTGTTTAGAGTACACTGAACATAAGCGTTTTCTAGATCACTCTGATAATCAGTAATTGGGTGTGTTGTGATAGTTGCCATGGCTATAGGTATAGATGGACGGTGTGGCCATGAGGCTGTGTGGCCTCCACACACCCTGCTGTAGCCCAGTGGGTTCCAGGTGCAAAGCAAGTAAAGACGTCTTGCCATCTCTCTGCCCCGGGGTCACAGGCTGCTGACTCTGCAATGACTTTCTCGGATCACCAGTTTGTATGCATGAAACTGCTGATGGCCGCAGCAGGCTGCTACGGGCCCTGTGTCCCAAGGTCTTTGTCACCTGCCAGCTCAGACAGCAGGGTAACTGACACAGCCTCTGTGACCCAGTTCCACCTTCCAGGGTGAACCAGTTTGGGAGTGGTGGCCAGCCGTGGTCCAGTAATCCAAGGCAGTAAAGTGGGGTCATCTGGGGGAAGTGACACCACCAAAATGGCATGTGTGCACCGAGAGGGTGATGAGATGTTGAGATGTGTTATTGTGATAGGGCCTCATGACACTGAAGCCCCTGGCATATCCACTTGGACACCTTGCAGGCTTCTCCCACTTAATGTTGAAATAAATGTTCCATCCCTTCCCAGAGCCTTTTCCCTTAAACCCAGTTCTCCTCTAAGTCGTTTTTTTTCCCTGAGCTCTATAAATGGCACCAACCAAGTACTTGGTTGCTCAGACCCCGAAATCCAGAAGTTATCATGTCTCAAGTCCTCTCTTTCTTTCCCACCTCAAATACAATCCAACAATAATTCATCTCAGCTCTCTCTTCCAAATACATCCAGAGTCTGCCCTCTCCATGGCAACCACCC